AGATAAACGTTAACATTTTAAAACAGTATTTTATTATTAATGACAGACATGCTGTATTGTGACTATAAGGGTGATATAGCTGTTATTCTTAAAACAGAAAAGTATATTCAATCATGATAGAAACATATAAAACAAGATAAATCATCGATATTTTAAAGTTTAAAAATCATACATATTATCATCTTACTATCTTACCATGCTTAAGTTTTCAGCTCACATATTGTAAATATGGATGTTTGCATTGCTGTAAGACCATCTCTCTATGAACCATTTTAACTCTAAAATGCTCAGTTATAAGAAATAGGAGTATATAGTCAAAATTTTGCTAACTTCTATTATTTTTATTTTCTCCATTTTATATTTGAAAATATTTTTAATCTATGTCAACAGAAGCACAAGTATTTACACATTTATTTTATTAACATTGATTTTTTATCCTATTTTGGTGAGCCAATAATTTTGAATTATGAATTTAAATTAAGGATTCACATAAGGTTTAAATGTATGAGCACTCGTTTTAAAATATAATCCTTTATGTTAAAATCCAGATTTAACTTGTCCAGCTCAATATCTTAAAGATTACACTACCTTCTGTAAGGTCTGCTCTGACATTTCTTTCCCATTCTTCTCTGAAGTACTCATCTTGACCCCATCATCTTCACAGTATCTAAAGAGTTGTTCTGGAAGGGAATAAATTATATATTATGGTACCTGATATACTGCTGAAACAGTGTCCTGTCATTTTAAAAAACAAGGTTCTGTGGTTTTTCAATTATAAATAATCTAGCCTTTTTTTTTTTTTTTTTTTGGCTAAATGAGGAACCAAACAATGACCTTTTACAAGATTTTAAGTCATATAATTATGTATCTTTGTAGTGTCACATTTTTTCTACAGTATTAAGATTTTCAAAAGTACAATAGGTATGTGGGTTAACAATGCTACACTTTTATTCCCATTTTCATTCTTTTGTAGACTATTCCCTCTTTGCCTTAAAAGCAGAATTCTTTGCCTTTTTATCTACACAGTCACTACTAGTTTTGTTCTCTGGATCTTGTTCCCTGCCAGGAGGATCACAGTGACTGCTGAACAAAGCAAATAGTAACAGAACTAGGGGAGACTGAAAGTCTAATGCCCCCTACTAAAACCTTTTGTTCAAGTGAAAGATCCTCCACTGGGCAGGGTAAACCGTAAAAACCACAATTCTAGAAAAACTGTGACTTCATGACAAATAGAAACCGAGGTACATGGGTGAAGCTGCTCCCACAGATCATCCCAACACTGGCTACACAACTTACTATCAAGATCTTTTCAATCAACTAAAAATCTGCAAGTAACTTAACAACGCTAAAAGAAAAATATATAATCATAAAATATCTTCTAATGTTATTAAAATTAAAATTTATCAAACCCTATGATTATTTTTCTTTTCATATAAATCAGTAACAAATTTTGTTTTATTACTTGTGAATATTGAAATATAACATTTTAAAATAGGAGTAAAAATACATAAAGCTGAAAGAATACATCTGTATGCTAGACTGAAATGATTTTGCTTTAAAGTATGCTTGACTGCTGTAGGTCAATGTAAAACTTTGATTTACCAACAAAGAAAAAGGGAAGTAATATTATTCTCTGTAGAGCAGAAATCCTCTTGGCATAAACAGTGACTAACAAGTTTGTTAGAGTGAATTAGGCATTTCTTTTGTCTTTGAAACATGACATACCCAATTAAAACTTCTGTACTCCTGAAATAAATAGAGCACTATCCTAGGGATAATAAAAGCTAGAATAGGTAGACTTTGCCACCCAGGGAATAAGTACCTTTACCTTGATAATAATCTATGAGTTCCCAAGTTTCTTTTTCTAGTCCCTGAACACCATGGCGCTGCACTCATTTACAAGGCTCTTTCAGCAGTATAGAAATGATATGCAAATACAATTCATCTGTTCTAGTCATTTAAATATCTGCTACAGTTCTTAGTGGAATAGTTACTATTAAAAAGAAGATAATAGCTCTATGTTCAAAAAGCATAGATGTCCAAAAATACCTAGGTAACTAATAAAATAAATACTAAAGATGAATTTTTGAATCAAGCTCTTCGCAGCTGTGTAGTTCCTGGATGTACAGAAGGCCCACTGATGGACTGGCTAACTATGCTCTTCTGTGGTTGTTTGTAAAAAGTTTGCTTCTCACTTTCACAGATTTGATAAAGAATATTCAAGCAGTTGAGCCCAGGCCCTGATAAAGAACAAAGACCCACTGGTTATCTAGCTCTTCATGTTTATGTCTCATGATCTCAGAATTTGGGAAATGAACCAAGAAGGACAGGTTTACATTTTTTTTTTTCAAACAATGGGTGTATGTGTTTCATCATATAGGGAAATATTCTTAATGCATTACAATTTTATTTATTTTGGTGGGGATTTTTTGTTTTTTAGTGTCTTATTTGGTTTTGAGACAGGGTCTTGCAATGCAGTTCAAGGAATTCCCAGTGATTTTTGTGCCTCAGTTTTCCAAGTGCTGGAATTATAGGCATGAACCATTATATCTGGCTATACTTTTTTTTTTTTTTTGTATTTTAGGTAAGGGTCTACAGGGTGTTCAGGGTCTCACTAGATCAGACTTGTAATGATCCATCTGTTTACAGCCTCCCAAGAGCTGGGATGACAGGAGTGCACCACCACATCCAGTCTCGATTACCATCTCCATGTGCTGTGGGCAGCAGGGGCCAGCATGGCAAGCAAGGGAATTGTATCCCTGGCCCCTGTGCCTACTTGCTGGCACTTTAATCCACTCAGCTATTTGGCTGGCCCTTATATTTACTTTTTAATGCTTTAATTTTTACTATTGTAAAAATGCATTTTGCTTTATACTTTTTCAGTTTTTTTCTCCCTCCATTTTTCCTTTTTAACTTTACTTATTCATAGTCATTTAAACTTATCTTGTTTTCTATATTTTAAATTTCCTTTTCTTCTTTTGGCTACACGAGGTAAAGGGAAAGTATTAGTAGTTTTATATAACTTTTTTTCTACCTCTGAAGGCTCAAATCTTCAAGGCTGCTGAAATAAACTGACAATAGGCAGATTAACAGGAAAGAATGTAAACTAATTCATTAGTGTGCACAAGGGCCATAGAAAACATGAAAACTAAAAAATGGGCCACATAATTGAAACTTCAACACCATCTCATAGGGGAGAGGGAAAAAGAAGACAGAACTACAGGCAATATTCCAAGGGCCATAAAGGATTTTTAAGAGTTCTGGGCCTGAGCAACAGACATTAGCCTGGGTCAAAGATGAAGGACAGACCTCCATTGTAACAAAGATTGTCTTACCATACAGGTAGACTGTCAGGTGTCAGTCTTCAAAAGAACACATGATGCTTTTAGTGTAAATATTACACAACTTTTGGTCTTCTTTTCTATGACTTAATCTTTCAGATTAATGAGATTTTTAAGGAAGAAGCACAAGATAATTGCTTCTGGTGTTGTTTTGTTTTGTTTTTGCTTTTAACTTCCCTTAGGTCAAATTAGCCATCTTCTAAGACAGATCTCCTTGAGCTTGGGAGCTGGAAACCAGAAAAGGTTAGAGAAACTATGATTCTAAGACAGCTCCTCAAGCCTCCCAATTTCCCTTTGTCCAAAGTACTCAGCATGTCAAAACATCATACTTTAAGGGTAAGCCCTAAAAGTACATAAAATGATTAATCTAGTTTTTCCAGCTTTTTACTGCTTAGTCACCTTCAGATGATTTTTCTTTTAAATAATATTAACACATTATTTTCAAAATCTATTTTTTCCAGCCCTTACATCGTCCTTAAAAGTCTTTTCATTATATCAGTTTGTGAGAAGAAAAAGGGAATACGTGTTACTTTGTATATGGGTGATTTCCTAAGAAAGAATTACTAGTTTTATATAACTTTTAGGAAAAACTAATAGTCACAGTGAGTAGGTTTTATTTTGGAAGGTACTTGTGATTATATAAAGAGATATACTTGATATTTGTCTCCAATTCTTGACACAGAGCTTCTGAAATTCTTGGACTTTCCTGAATGACATGATTATCTTTGTTATTCATAAAAGCTCCTTTCAAATATGCCAGAATTAACGTTAAAGCAATAGTTGACAAGAACATATGCAGCTTCAGAATGCAAAACGGTTGCCAGAGGAAGTCACTTTGAGCTCAGCACTGAAACATTCCATCCTGTTCCCAGAGCTCTTCCGAAAGGTCAAGGACTGGGACTGATCACCCAGGGTCAATGATTTCCTCAATCACTCTTATGTAATGGTCCTCTAGAAGAAAACTAGTGAGTTTGTCTTCAATATTTTAAATGGTAAACATACAAATTCTTTGAGGATGGCATGTGCAAAAAAGCACGACAGCATGATGACCCTTCTCCCATTCTTGGCTTACACACGTCTCTTTCACTGTTTCTGAGTTGAATACCATATATAATAAGCTGGTAGTAGTACATAAAGTCCTTTCTAGAGCCAGTAAGGCAAAGTAGCAAATCTGTAGAAGAGAACATGGGAACCTCCAACTTATAGCTGATGGATCAGAAAAAGATGGACTTGTCAAAAGGTATCTGAAATGGGGACACATTTTTAGAACTGAAACCTTTCGCTGTGTGCCATTTCCAAGCATTTATAGGTGAACTAAATTGTGGCACATACACTTGGTGGTTAGAGTAGTGGTGCTGAATGTATGGTACAGTCAGCTATCTGCTGTCACTGAAAGCTCTAAAAGGTACACCATCACTGGTACAGAAAGTCAAAGAGCAGTCTACTAGGTAGAGGGGGAAAAAAAAAACCTACATAGTACTATGTCAGATAAATGAGTTAGGGATAATGAAAGAATCAGTAAAACTGGCCATGAAAAAGTAAGACTGTGTGTGTGTGTATGTGTGTGTGTGTGTGTGTGTGTGTGTGTGTGGTGTGTGTGTGTGTTACTAAGGATTGAACCCCGGGCCTTTGAAAAATTTTTTGAGACAAGATCTTGCTAAGTTGCCCAGGAAGGGTTCAAACTTATGATGTTTCTATCTTATTTTCCCAGAATACTGCAAGTACAGGTATGTGGCAAATTTTTATTTTTTGTGTTAGACATTGTCTCTTTAGCAAGATGAAAATGAGTCAACTATAAATAGAATTCATATCCCATCTCCTCTAAAAAATGACTACTAGTCAGTGAAAAATAAAAGACTCATTTCTTATGAATGAGGTTAAAGATGAGAAATAAGCTCTGCTTCTGTAGATAGGACAGAATGTCAATTATCCCATGAGCTTGCTCATCTGACTGACACCGTGATACTTACAGCATCTTCACTGAGACTCATCCTATCCTTTTTGACTTTACCCGACAGGAATACAAAAAACAATCTACTTGATCAGTAAAAGTTGAAAGAGAGGGCCAGTCAAATGGCTCAGCGGATTAAAGCACCTGCAAGCAGGCACAGGGGCTGGGGGTTCAATCCCTGGGCCTGCCATGCCTGCCTCGCCCCCAGAGCTCGCTGAGATGGCAATGGAGACTGGGCGTGGTGGTGCACACCTGTAATCCCAGCTCTTGGGAGGCTGTAAACAGATGGATCACTATAAATCCAATCTAGTAGTGATCTTTTACTGATTAGTGAGACCCTGAACAACCTTTAGATCCTTACCTAAAATACAGAAAGAAATGTATAAAA